TTATCGTACCGTGGCCTCTGTATCGTGATACGTATCGTATCGTGACTTTGCTGGTGATACACAGCCCTAGTTGCTAGGTGTTCTTGTTGGTTGCCAGGGCACTACTATGCAGTTGCTAAAGTATTCAGAGTGGTTTTATTACTGCATTGCCATGTGGTTGCTATTGTGTTCTTGTTGGTTGCTAGTGTTATATATCTGTTATATATCAGTTATATCTGATCAAATGCACATTATTATTCTTTAGTTTGGGTTAAACAAATAAATGTGTTGCTATGTGGTTCTTAAAATGCTTTTAATGGCTTTACTGGATTTAGGGCTGCAACAAAAGATTATTTTGATACATCGATTAATCTAACGATTATTAGAATGATTAATCAACTAATCTTAGATTATTTCATTGATTAATCAGTAGGTTTTGATCAATTATTCAGCTTTTGCAATTAGTAAAAATATTGAGTTCTACATATTCAACACTGTCCGAAATATTTTAACTTCTGTTGGATTATTCGAGGGAGGGCTGAATTACAGTCTTGTGCTACAGCGCCACACTGGTCAATCCACATTATTGCAGGCCCTTACATTAGGTCATATGAGATCAAACGACTATTTGACAACAAAAATATTTGTCGACAATTTTTTGTTGATAATGTCGACTAAACATTTAAGCCCTAACTGCATAGCTATGTGGTTGCTACAGTGTTCTTGTTGGTTTCTAGGGAATGCTACGACGTTTCTATAGTGCTCTGAGTGATTTAACTGCATTGCTATGTGGTTGCTAAGGTGTTTGTTGGTTCCCAGAGCATTGCTATCTGTTTTCTATAGTGTTCTCACTTCTGAGCGGTTTTATTGCATTGCTATGGGGTTCCTAGGGTGTCCTTGTTGGTTGCCAGGGTGTTGTTATGCAGTTGCTAAAGCGTTCTGGGTGGTTTTACTGTGTTGATATGGGGTTCCTACCATGTTCTTGTTGGTTGCCAGAGTGTAGCTATGAATTCTGTAGATTCTTTCCAGACGTTTTATTATATGCCAGGTGAGATACTAAGTCTGATCACTTAGAAAAGTAGCAGAACACCTCTCCTCAAAATTCTGCCTGATTTAAGGTATTATTTATGTCAGTAACAGAAACGTGCGAGTTACAGTATGTGCCAACATTTACTACCTTAAAAAGTATTAACAATAGTAACAGTGATGCTTGCCTTAGAAAACACAACTACATACGGCTAGTACAACTGGCCTAAAACAAAAATCATATGGGAGTTTTATGGTGGCCATTATTACTCTCTCTCCTTTCCTTACTCATTATTCGTGATACATTACATGCCACGTCTAGTTTCCCCCTGTCAGAGCCAACCAGAGAGTTGCTTTATACGGGATCGTAACTCTGCAGGGAATGGATTGTAATCACGCGTTTTTTTTAAGAGAGATTTACTAATCTCTCTTAGTAAAAAATGGATGTGCTGCCAATTTCTCTTGCACGGTCTCTCTGATGGGGTCTCTGAAAGCTAGACAAAGACACATCATTATTTTAAAAAGCAGCTAAAAGTATGACGATCAAAGCGGCAACCAATGCATTGCTTTTGATGGCAGAGGACAGATGATCACTGTGGACCTTTGGTGACATTTGTTTACATAACCTCATCCTCCAGTGATTCACCACAAAAAAGACATTGTGGTACATCCCCCTCACCATTTAAAAAATACAATACAAAAATACAATATTTTTTTAAAGTTTGAGGGGACATAATATCTTACTTGTGGTCAGATTTAATATATTCTGGTACCATGGCACAGTGTATAATACGGTAAAACTGTAAAAAATTGTTTCTATTTTATTTACATATTATTAAAAAATGCATGGTACTTCAAGAATATGCTGGAATATTATGCGACATGATCAAACTCACACTAACTGTGCTAACATGTTCACATGCGTGTCTGTTCAGGTGTGAATTAATGAAATTTGTGATGGACATTAGCAGTACTATTCAGTTAGTTATCCTCTCCAAGGCCCAATTCTCATCAGGTCAAAGTATTGAGTGGTGTGAATTGTGAAAACCTCTCTCTCAAACACACACCCACAAATCATTAAGCACTAAACAGTGACTAGTGGTGAGGTTAACGTGAGGGCTATTTCTGAGCCATTGCTGAGGGCGGGTAACCCTCCGGTCCTGATGCTCGTTATATGCTTGGCCTGTTCCCTCATCGATCGCTGGACTAAGCAACAGAATGAGCACAACATTATGGATGTGAGGGATTTCCCATCACGGATGAGTCATAGTCTCTCCCAGATGAAAGAGCCTTAACTGTGGGCTGTGCTGCACTCAACCCTGCAGCACACACAACCATGAAATCCGACAAAAAATCTCCCGTTTTCAATGAGAGGCTCTTGTTTTGGAGTGCATAGCTCAGCTGGTAAAGAGCTCATTTCACATTTAGATTCCTGACTATAATAGACCCTTTCATTATGGGAAGGTCCTTTAAAACAGATAATTAAATAATGACCTTTCAGAACACTAATGTCTGTTTTTAGGATGCAGGAGATCATCTTAATTATCTCAGACTAGATTTTGTGTTATCCTGTCTGTGTGCGGGATTCCCCAGATCCAAGGACCACTTTCCTTTACTGCTCCCTGAATGCGACACGTTCAATGTTTTTTCCATGATTATTCAAAACTCTGGTTAATATAATGTGACGGTTCAAAATCCAAAGCACACTTTCAAAAGCAAAGCAAAGATACTGCTGAAAATGAGCATCGTATGGAGAGGAGGTGACTGAAGATTACTTTCATTTTTATCTTGCTGGCTTACCTTGGACTCTTTAACGGGCTTCTCCGTGTTTCCATTGGAATCATAGTGTGGTCACTCCCCTCTCGCGCTCCACCGACAGGAATGCTGCAGTTTATAGGCTACATCAGAAAGGCGCTCGTGAATGTAAATATGATGGCTGAATGTAAAACCACGCCCCCTTATTATCATACGTACGGAAAAACAGTATTAATAATAATAATAATAATAAAAAAACGGAAATATATTATTTAAAAATACATTGAAATAATAACATTAAATAAATGAAATAAAATAATACAAATAAATCAACAAAACACAAAATACAAGAATGAATAAATGTGACAATTTACAGATATTAACTTATGATTACCTCTTTATTATTTTTTTATTATTATTTTAGTCTTCATATTATATTTTCTGTATTATGTTATTATGTGTCCTTTGAGAAGGAAATTACACTACGGTGACAGTCGTAATTGTTTGAGGGGAAACAAATAATTTCCACACATTAAAACTATATTTTTAATAACGTGTTTTTTTATATTGTCGTCTTTTTAAACATTGAACAATTCATATTTTTTTTAATAATAGTTTATGATTAAAACTGTGGGTGTTATGTAAAGTCTGCACATAAAAGGCATTTTTGTGGCAGTGGCAAAAACTGAAGGGGGGAAGGGAGAAAGAAAAACCATTATGCACACCATTATGTAGATTTTGTCCTCAATAAAGTATTTCTTTAAAACTATGAGTATTCATTAATATAATAGATATTCATGTAATGAGCTATTACGTAGGAATATTGTTCACAATGTATTCAGTTATAAGCTTTATTCTACGATATAAGCAGAGTGAATAATTAGTTCCAGACCTAATGAATTGCGGTATACACATAAACTGAATTAAATAATTCGCCAGTCTGTGTCACGGTTTTTTACAGCGACTATTTTCAATAGTAGAAACGGGGGGGGGGGAAACTACAACTCCCAGAATCCCCAGCTATCGTTGATGACGCAGTCAAAAGTGGACCAACACGGTCCCTGACACCGAGTAACTGCCTGACTTTATAGTATTATTACGTATATTGTTTACTTGAAAACACTTATCCACTAGTGGAAAGCAAAAGTGGTTATGGCTGCTCCGCTGAAAGTATGTATTGTTGGTTCAGGAAACTGGTGAGTATGAACGTGTAATGATTATATATGATAAATATATGATTGGTAATGAGATTAATATACAGAATATATGGCGTGGACCGACTGTTATAGCTCAGAAAGTGCTTACTTAGACTGGAGCACAAGTTTAATTCCCTGTACGAAACAGCAGTTACAGCGAGCTGATATTCAGATCCATATTTTAAGCATTATTATTCTGGGCAAAATCAAGTGATTAATAATTTAACTGCATTGATTTGAAGATCTGCATGCTGTATAACCCTCATTTGACTGCAGGTGGCAAGGCAAAGCAGCTTCTCGGAGTTGTAAACCCTGCTTGGAATGTCTGAGTGAACTGCTTTTTAACAACAGACTGGCATTTTGATTAAAGGTACTGTTGTGTTTTTCTGTACCAAGGGGCTCTGCAATTGCAAGAATTATTGGAACCAATGCACAGAAACTCCAGCACTTTGCCACCACAGTCAAGATGTGGGTTTATGAAGAAATGGTCAACGACAAAAAGCTTTCTGAGATCATCAACACAGAACACGAGAATGTCAAGTACCTCCCAGGCTACAAACTCCCAAAGAATGTGGTAAGACGGTGTGTTGGGTGCCCTAAAATGTGGTAAATAATAATAGTTATGGATAATAAATAATTATATGCTTTATAAAGAAAGGTAAATACTATATATACATTTTTAATTAGATTTTTTTTATTTGTGTAAAAAAAACAAACAAAAAAATGCATTGGTTAAATATTGCACTTAAAATTGATATTAGTCTATCTGATATGCATGCTTGCTATCTGTTGACCATCATTTGAAACCAAATCATCTTTTGCACATCATTCCGAATAAAAAAGTCTTATTCAAGCTTGTTCTGGGGCCAGTTGCATAAACTTAGCCACCATGTTAAGACTGTGTCTTAAGAACTAGTTTGACCAAATAGCAGTTGCCAAGGGGTAATCAATCTTACTCTTCCAATACAAATAAGACCAATCTGCCTTTTCATAATGGAATTAAAAAAGTTATGACCAGTCTTGAAGAAAAAAAATTAGATGGCTAACTTTTAAGACTAGTCTAAACAGTTTATGCAACCGGCCCCTGGTGTTGAAATAAGCATCAGATTTATGGGGTTTTAACTTTTTCCTGTAGGTTGCAGTGCCACAGCTTCGGGATGCCGCAGAGGGTGCCGACCTCCTGGTTTTCGTGGTCCCTCACCAGTTCATCCGGAAACTGTGCGATGAGATGGTGGGATGTGTTTCGGAAAAGGCTCGTGGAATTACATTAATCAAAGTAAGAATGTTGTGCATTGTGTATAATTGAAATTGTAGTGCTTTTTGATGGGCTTTACAAAGCTTTATTGAAGATTTAAGGTTATGTCGTTGTTTGACTATAACCTGATGCGGGTTTGACAGCACCTTTGGAGCCTATATGGTAACCTAATTTTAAACTAGATAATGGGTGTCAATTAGGGCTGTCATGCACTTAAACCACACAAAAGAATGGGTGAATGGTGATGTTTGACTTAATATGATTTGTGCAAGGTGCAGCTTGACCAAATTTAGATGGGTAATTTGTCTAAAAAAATGTTTATATTGCTTTATCAAATAAATATTATTTTCATAATGGACTAATGAGAGACAGTACAAACAGACAATAATTTATTCCTATTTTGAGTTGATAGTGAATGCCAGAAAATGTTTTTTTTTTTTATGGCAGACGAAACAAAATGGAACAAAATGTCCATCTATTACAAATTAAGTATTTTTCTAATTAATTTAATAATAGTCCTGTATTATATTCAGCTATAAGCAAGCCAAATGCTGCCCATGGCTGTTTTTGATTTAATATTCTAAGTTTTGGTCAAACCTTGTGCGTCCTCTTCCATGTGGTCGGACAGGATGTTCAAGACTGAACAATGCTGAGAAGTCTCTGACTTGATATCTTTTTAAAAGAGCACCATATGTGGAGTGACTCATGGGTAAAAAAAAAAGGCCCTCTGGCCTGCTGGCAATCTCTTTGTGTGCAACTTATCTCCTGGTGCCAGTTTGTCTCCTCTGTTACTGTCTGTGCTGCCCATCACTTCATCTCTGCAGTTATACCTCTCCAAATTTGATTTATTCTTTCCACTTCATTATTTGAAAAGTAGCCTAGTTTCTCACAGTCTTGCGTTTTTATTTTAAAAGATATAGTTTGTCTGTTGTCTTTTTTCAGATTTCTACCCATTTCTTGTGTACTCATTTCGCCTTCTTTATTATTTTTGTTCTGCTTTACTGTTCCTCCTCATTTTTTGAGTCATTAGGCAAAGATGGTCCAAACAGCTGTGCTCCAGAGTTATATCTGCTGAGGGGGAAATAGTGTGATGCTACATTTAAAAAAGCATTGGTGTGTTCTAGGGCTGCACGATAAATCGCATGCGATATTTAATGCGCATCTTGTCAGAAAGCCGGTTCTGTAATCAGCGGTAAATCTCCATCACCTGCGGACTTTCACATTGAGCAGCATTAACTACACAGAGCCGTTGTTCACTGACGAGTTGCGCAAAACCACGTTCATATTCGCGCGTTTTTTTGCGCATCTCCTCAGTGAACAACGGCTCTGTGTAGTTAATGCTGCTCAATGTGAAAGTCCGCAGGTGATGGAGATTTACCGCTGATTACAGAACCGGCTTTCTGACAAGATGCGCATTAAATATCGCATGCGATTTATCGTGCAGCCCTAGTGTGTTCTTTTTTTCTTTCTTTGTAGGGCATTGATGAAGGACCAGAAGGATTGAAGCTCATCTCTGATATCATTCGGGAAAAAATGGGCATTGATATCAGCGTCCTAATGGGGGCCAACATTGCCAATGAAGTGGCGGCTGAGAAGTTCTGCGAGAGCACCATTGGTGAGTGAAAAATGTTTGGAGCTATTCTGTAGGTAGCGTTGCACTTTAGCAACTACATGCTAAAAATCACCAGGAGCTAACTCAACAGACATTTTCTTCGATCCACAGGCTGCAAGGTGTTGGAGAACGGCCTCTTGTTTAAAGAGCTCCTGCAGACGCCTAACTTCAGAATCACCGTGGTGGATGATGCTGACACAGTAGAGCTCTGTGGAGCCCTTAAGGTAAATATCAGTCTTGTCTTGTTGCTCATCCCGGGGGAAATATCTTGATTCAGGCACCTGAGATGCAGGGCTTCAGGGGCAAGACTCAGACCTCTGTGTAAAGAAGAGCTTGCGCTGCTGAATTTACAATTAGATGCTGTAAGGCTGCTGTTCTCCTCGTAAACACATTGTAAAAATCGTTGCAATATTGGCAAGCTTTGACAAATACTCTGGGTTATTTACAACTTAAAGGGATAGTTCATCTGAAACTGAAAATTCTGTCTTCATTCATTCACCCTCATGTCGTTCTAAATCTGTATGGCTTTCTTTCCTCTTTGGAACACAAAAGAGGAACTTTGAGTTTTTTTTCCCCATTGGTTTTATTTTTGTCCATACAATAGAAATCAATGGTAACCAAAACCTTCAAAACTTCAGTTTTTGTGTTCCGTAGAAAAAAGTCATAAAAGAAAAAGTCATACCGGTTTGAAACAACATGAAAGTGAGTAAATGATGACAGAATTTTCATTCAAAACTGATGTTGTTCCAAGCCCGTGTGTAATATAAAAGAAGAAATGTTGAATAAAGAATGAACTGACAATTATTATTCCTCATATAATGAATGTGAATTTGGGCTGTCGACCTCCAAAAAGACTGAAAAGCACCATTACAATATGCAAAGTAGTCTATATGAGTCTTCTGAAGCCTTATGATAGCTTAGTTTGATAAATAGACCCAAATTTAATTTATTATTCACGATTTCACGTATAATCTTCCTCTTTGCTGGAAATGTGGCGTTGTGCATTAGCTGTTGTTTAAATCTTAAAATTTTATGAACTGTTGGTTATTTGTTGCCAACATAGGAGTTCTGAGATTGACTTTAAAGGGGTCATGTGATGTTGCTAAAAAGAACATTATTTTGTGTATTTAGTGTAATGAAATGTGTTTATGCAGTTTAAGGTTAAAAAAGCACATTATTTTCCACATACTGTACATTATTGTTTCTCCTCTATGCCCCGCCTTTCTGAAACGCGTTGATTTTTACAAAGCTCATCGGTCTGAAAAGCGAGGTGTGCTCTGATCACAGCATGTGAGCAGAGCGGAGCGTGAGCTGAGCGGGGAGCGGAGTGGTAATATTTCCTTAAGAGCGCAGAGCGCCTTTCTGAAGATACCGCTCCGCTCGCTCAATACGCTCAGCGCCACCTGCTCAACCCAGAATGCCGTTTGGTGATTTGCTTGTTCGAGATCGAGAATCTGTAGAGATCGAGAATAATAGAGCAGTTATGGAGTTCAGATATTGTTTCAACGAAGTTGCAAGCCTTATACATAAATGTAAAGTAAAAATCAAAGTTAAGAATGAGCAGGGGATCTGAGCGGGAATTGGTTTACGGCGAGCGTGTGCGGAATATTAATGGAGCGATTGCTTGGGCGGTTAGAGCGACTGAGTGGAGCGCATGTCCATAGAGCGGAAAATGTAGCGGAGCGTCACACCGCTCCGCTTCGCTCACATGCTCTGGCTCTGATTGGCCAGCTATCCAGTTTGTTGTGATTGGCCGAATACCTCAAGTGTGTGACGGAAATGTTACGCCCCTTACCATATTGTGATG